ATTCATTAGTTTTACTTTTACTTCCCTTTGTGGTCAAATTCACAAAAACCTCCTTGAGGCCAAAGTTCAGACGTTTAATACCTGTGTTTTCTTCTATATTTTCATTGTTTCAAGTATTACATTTAAGCCTTAAATACATTCTGAGTTAATTTTTTATGTATGATGTTAGATAGCAGTCTAGTTTCATGTTTTGCATGTGGCTTTCTAATTTTCTCAATACTATTTGTTGAAGAGGCTTTCCTTTCGTTCCTCCACTGTATGCTTTTGGCTTCTTTGTTTGAAAATTAGTTGCCCATGTATATGTGGGTTTATTATTTGAACTTTCTTAAACATTCAGAACATTTAAATTTATGTAGGCCTCTGCCAGGCAGGATTGGAGCTGTATACCCATAATTCTTGCATAATCACACTACTTTTCATGAAGTTCTTTTTTCATTAGTGTTCACTTGTCAACCACTGGCCCTAATGCAATTGGCTAATCATTTATCAGGTGAGCTCTGTTCTTTACCCACAGTGGGACACATAGAAAAATCATAAAACATAGTGAGGGACTTTAGACTCCAGCTGGGGTGACATATCTAATACATAGAATATTTAGTTACATGTACTCTTAATCTGCAACCATACACACCAGTAGGTTACTCAGCATGAACTGGAGACCACTTGTAGCTAATTAGCCTAGTTATCCTAATACAACTCAGCAGGATTCAACAAACTGTCATCCAAAACTGTGTAGGGAGAAAACCCTCCATCTGCCACCCCTGTAACAAAGTTATGGAACCAAATTTGCTTGCCTCACTAAAGGCTTCATTCTTTGGATGGATGCCATCCCAGACTTATATTTAAAGTTCAATGAGTCAAGCCAACTCATGTAACTAATTCCATGGAACATCCTGGTCTTCTGTGGTAGCCTTCAATTTCTCCAATCCTGTTGACTACTCATGACTGTATAATGCACCATATTTTGCTTCTTACTTTTATAGAGAGTAGCAACTTCATTTAGTTGCTCTGCCTATTCTTATCCTGAATTTGTGTTTTTAAATTAGCTCTGGCAGTGTAAGTCAT